ATCCCGAGAACATCATGATGGAGCCATGGTTTCACCCCCGTGGGAGAGTCATCAAGTATATGGAGACCGCCCGGCATTGTCGATGCTAGAGATGCAAGATAATCTGCTGCAAAATTTACCTCACGGTGGATATGACGGATCTCCACGTTCCACTCTTTCCTTAAGAGCTCCTTGATACCCATGATAATGCTGCTATGAATACCCGTGTGTTCACCATTGTGAAGTACCAAATCGACGACACTTTTGCTATCCACTTCCGCAATCACCAAACGGTGTCCCAACCTCCATGCTAGATTCAAGCCTTGGAAAATTACCCATAACTCTGCACCCAAGACCGAGCAAAACCCGATATTCATCGCAAAACCGGACACCCACCTACCATCTTCATCCCGTAACAAACCCCCAGCCGAGGCCATTCCCGAATCACGATTGAAGGCCCCATCTGAGTTTAGTTTAATGCAGCCCGTCGCCGGCCTGGTCCACGAGAGCCATCGGAGTTCTCTACAAGAAATTGCAGCACCTAAGCTTTTCGCGTGCAGAACGGCCGAAGTGCACCCTTCAACTTGTCTATCGATTGCCGCCACACGTCCGAGAATGTTCAGCCCGACGTTCTCGAAAATGAAGGAGTTTCGTCCACGCCAGATGTTCCATAAAGTGACCCCAAATATACAGCTCCAGTTTTCTACTTGAATGTTCAAAGTATTATGGATATTGAGGCGCAGCCAATCACTAATCTCGAGGGAGAAGAACGAGGCCTGGGAACAAAGCGGGATAATCCGACGCCACGTTTGGACAGCATGGCAGCAGTCTCGAAGACAGTGCAATATCGTCTCGCGGGCGGCACCACACAACACACACGAGGCGCTCTCCGCTAGATGGCGACGGTAACGTTCGTCATTGGTTAGCAAACGATCCTTAACAATTAGCCACATGAATTGACGGATTCTTTGGGGCCCCGACCAGCTCCAAATGTGTTTCCATAAACGCCCATTGTTCTCGGGCTGAGGCCCAGCTAGAAACTCATAAGCCGATTTGGTGGTGAAACGACCGTCCCCCGACCACCCCCAGTACATAATGTCGTCGCCCAAATCCGGGGAAGGAGGTAGAATGGCAGCAATCCGCATGAGTACCGTCGCGGGCAACAGCGGTTGGAAAAGGTCCCACCGCCAAGCACCGACGTCGTCAACGAATCTATCCAAGGTCCAAGTGAGAAGGTATTCTGGCACTGGTTGACGGGCTTCGTGGAGGAGGATTGTAGAGTTCGTAAGCCATCGGTCCGTCCAGAAGTGAATACGCTGGCCGTTTCGAACTGACCATCGGATCCCATCAACAACTAGGCTCCAAACACGCGCAATAGCACGAATAACAGTCGAGCCGCGTGTGACCTTAAGAGTATCAGAATTGTCGGTCAAGTCGAGGCCATATTTCGCAACCATTACGCGAACCCACAGTGCATTGGGGGAGGATAGCAGACCCCAACCCAACTTCATTAATAGGGCCTTGTTCATCATTCGCTGATCTTTAAAACCTAACCCCCCGGCTGCCTTTGGCCGACATAAGTCCTCCCATCTCACCAAGTTGATTTTCTTTTGAGCGTCCGTACTTCCCCACAAGAAACGGTATGCTAGTGCAAATGGAAGAGGGCATCCACGTTGTTTGCATCGCGTAAAATGGCAAAGTATTCACCACCGATTGAATCAAAGTAGTCCTACCCGCCAGTGATAGTGCCGAGCTTTTCCATCCAGCGAGACGCTGTTCGGTCTTGTGCAAAATAGTAGCGTAAGTCTCGTGGTTAATTCTCCCGTGAATGATAGGCATTCCTAGATATTTCCCAAGGTTGTCAACACGCTCATAGCCCAACAAGCAGGTCACATCCTTGGCAACATCCGTGGGGACATTATTGGAGAAGAAAATTTTCGGCTGATTCATTAAATTAACGTGCCAAGCCGAGCTATAAAAAAATATTATTTGTATGAGCCTTAATTAGCAAGCTTGTTTGGTTTATCAAACAAATAGAGCTTAACTCAGACATTAACGAACTAACCCTAAGCGGCTCGTAGTTTTACACACTAGTTATTAATCGTTAGTCTAAGATTACATATCTTTGGAATTAAACTTTGTAACTTTCTTGTTATACTGTTCATTGGTCACCTGCATTTCTTGGCTTTCAGCGAGTTGACAGGTTTTGCGAGTTGCCCTTTTTCAAACTCGGTCGTCCAGAGCCATAGGCCCATAGTCGCTGGCAACATGTGTAATATCCCGATATTTTATCGGTATAAATTACGTTTTAATTCCGATATAATAATGTTATCGTTTATTATTTTCGGAATTAATTATTTTCAGTCGGAATTACCGAAATCTATTTTCGATGTACCGTTTACGTTCGAAATAATTTTGGTAATTAAGCATTATGTTTAATTAAATAATTAAACATAGGTAGTGATTAATTATGGAATTAATCACGTAATTTAGCCTTAAATGTCGTGGAGTGTTAGGCATATTTTCCCAAAAATTTGAGTAAAGTCGTGACCTAGATTTCCAATTAATTTGGCAACTTAGGAATATTTTCCCAAATATTTTAGCTTCGGTTAAAGGATTCTTCATGGTTAAGGAGTTGAACTTTCTCCCCAATTGTAAAGCTACGTGTTAAAAGGAGAATCAATTTGGGGAGATTAGTCATCAAACTTAAATTGTGAGGTTAACAAATGTTTGCTCCAAAATCGGCCACGGAGTGCCTTCATCATCATTCTCCTCCATCGTCCAAGTATATAAAGGTGACCTTAAATCAATTTTCGTCACTTTTCCTTAAGAACCGAACCTATACTTTCAGTACCTCTTAGTCTCCTTTAATCAGCAAGTAAGTTCAAGCAAAATTTTCCCTCAATATTTACTATCAATCGCACGGAAATTAAGGACACCGCACGGAGTACACGCGAGGAAGGAGGCCACGCCTATTTTCCGTATTCCGTCGAACGTTCCGAGAGGTAAGGTTCTTTTCCTGTAAGAATCAAGTTAGTAAGTTGATTTTAGAGTTAATTGTTCGGGGAATTCCCGTAAAATCATGTTCAAAGCCGTGCCTTAGTCCGATTATTTTTAAGTAAGATCATAACCGATTTATGTTCATTTCAGTCCGGCAAATTCCGAGCGTTCAGCGGTTGTTTAACCTTTATTTAATTTAT